GTATGAGATGGTAATTAAGGAAGGTGGTTATGTGTAGGAGTCAAGAGGAGTTGATCCCAGCATCGAGGACATTTCAGACACTTCACGACATTGAGGTGAGTTACCTTCCAGTAGAAGTGGGTCTAAGGCTACAATGTCTGCCCACTAGTAGGAGTTGTTTGTTAGATGATTGTCTTTGTGATAATTATCTGGTATGTTATGTTATGTATTGGTATGCTATGATGATATGTGATAATGGTAGAAAGGGTAGGATAGACCCTAGTACCGGTCGATAGGGCCGACGGGTATGCCAGCACCCGAATAAGCTAGGCAGTATATGATTTATATGTTATGCACTAGGACGCTATGTGGTAGAACTGGGGGGTGAAATAGTCCCCGGTACCGGTCGACAGGACCGAAGAGGTAGGCCAGCACCCTGATATGCTAGGCTAGGTACCGGTCGACAGGACCGAAGGGGTAGGCCAGCACCGTGATATGCTAGGCAAGTTACCGGTTGAAAGAGACTAAAGGGGTAGTCAGTACCCAGATGTGTTAGACGGTATGTGTTATGTATGGTATGTGGTATGATGGGGGAACTCACTAAGCTTTGTGCTTACAGTTTTCAGTTTTGTTTTCAGGTAGCTCTTCTTCGAAGGGGAAGGAGCCGGCACGGTAGCAGCGCATCACACACACACACAGGATTTCCGCATTATGAGATTCTTGGGATTGTACTCTGACATTATTACTATTTTATGATATGGTTTTGAGACGCGTGACTATGGTTTTATGAAATGATATGAATCGATGATGTTTTTCAGTAAACTGTTTTATAAGTTAATTAAAAAACAAAATTTTTAGTCTTGGAAATTGGGATGTTACATCGTGTGGGCAAGGTAGCATATCGTTTGAATCTACCGAAGGAACTCAGTCAGATTCACAGTAGTTTTCACGTCTCTCGTCTGCGGAGGTGTTTGGCTGATGATTCCGAAATGGTTCCATTGAAGGATATACAGGTGGATGACCGCCTGAACTACATTGAAAGACCGGTAGCGATCCTCGACAGGAAGACGAAGGCCTTGAGGAACAAAGTCGTAGATTTGGTGAAGGTGCATTGGCAGCACCGAAAGGGTTTAGAATGGACGTGGGAGCCTGAGGATGAGATGATGGAACATTACCCAAAGTTATTTGCAGCGGCAGACTTCGAGGACGAAGTCTGATTCAAGTGGGGGAGATTTGTACCATCTGAATCCTTGAGGTACTTAAATTCTTGAAAATTTTCATTTGTGGGGAGGCTCACGACGTGAGAATGCTCATTTACCATTTGACCCATATTCTCAAACCTCATGACATGAGGCATAAGATCTCATGACGTGAGCCAGGTGTGATGACCCAAAACCCTCATTTTCGATTATTTAATGGAATGAGAGGGCTAGGATCGCTCATCCTCAACCTCTCTCACTCTTTAGCCCCCCTGAAAACCCTAACTTCGATCTCCTTGATACCTTGGGCCATTATTGGTGATTTTGAAGAGCTTACTTGGAGTTTTTTGGTTCTTTGAAGTGGAAGAAGGCTCTTGTGGTGCTTCATTTTGGCAATCTAGTTTCTACCACTGAGCTTGTGAGCATTTGTAAGTCATAAAGCTCCTATCATTTTGCCTTAAGCGTGCTAGATCTAATATTTGGAACCTTTCTTTGCATGGTTGGGTTGTTTAACATGCACGAGATCCATAAAGTTGGCAACTTTATGGATCACTGAGACATCTTCTGTATGTGAGTCCTTCAATCTGGGTTTTGGTGTGCGTTTTGGACTCCAAACTTGAGTCTTGATCTTAATACCCTTCTTTTGACCTAGTTAGTGTCTAAGTCATGTATTGGACATGCATGACTAAAAAGCTACGATTTTTATGGTCCTTAGGGTTGAAGAAGGTGTTATGGAAAGTCTTAGTGTATGTCTTAAAGGATTAAGAGATTAATGCTCAAAGTTGGTCAGAACCGATCTCACGACGTGAGAAATGGAAACTCGCGACGTGATCCAGGTGGTTGTCCCGATCTAAGGATTATGTTGGCAGAGTGAAACTGAGTCGACTCGTTGAGTGGTTCTGGGACGAGTCGATCCTCACGACGTGAGCCTTAGTGGCCACGACGTAAGGGTGGGCTAAGGAGAAAGTTGAACTTTGACCTTAGGCATTGACTTTTGACCTAATTTGACTTTTGGTCTACTCTTGGTTTTGAAGGGAAAATCTAAGGTTTGCCTTGCGTGATTATCTAGGTGTGGAGTAGCACCTGTGTAGCTGATCGTGAGAGCAGCAGTAGTAGATTATCGATCGAGAGTTGAGCTTTCCTTCCCTGTATTCGTGGGTCGAAGGCACCAATGTTGGCCCACTAGTTTATGATGTAGAGTGATGATTGCCTTTGTGATAATTATTGGTTATGCATGTATTTGATTGATAACTCTGTGATTCATGTTATGATATTATGTGGTACTAGTTAGGGATGTCAACGAGGGCAAACGGGGCGGGGATTGCATCCCCCGCTCCCACCCCCGAAATTTTTCTATTCCCCGCCCCCGCCCCCGCCCCCGAAATCTCTAGCCTCCACACCCCCGCCCCCGCCCCCGTTTCCCCGCCCCCGTTTGCGTTGACTATTGTTTTGGGCGAACAAAGGTGTTCTTTAGGCTAAAAGAAGTTATTTTTTTGGGCTAAAAGAAGCTATTTTGGGTAAAAATAGTTATTTATAGCATAATTTTACACGTTTAAAATAAAAATATTATAACATCTTAAAGACGTTATACTAACAACTTAAAAACATGGTATCTTATTGAATTTTTGAAGTTCAAAATAATTGTTATTAATTATTATATTTTTATAATTAACACATATTAATATAAGTAATATATTAACGGGGTCCCCATTGGGGGTTCGGGACGGGACTACCCGCCCCCGCCCCCGCCCCCGAAATTAAAACGAGGGTAAACCTTGCCCCCACCCCCGCCCCCGCCCCCGATTTTTTTGACAAATATCCCCCATACGGGTTCGGGGCCCCACGGGTTCGGGGTCCCACGGGACTTTTTTACATCCCTAGTACTAGTTGGGGGTGAAATAGACCCGGTATCCGGTTGAAATAGACCGAAGGGGATTGCAAGCACCCATATATGCTTGACAGTATCCGGTTGAAAAAGATCGAATGAGAGTGCAAGAACCCAGATATGCTTGATAGTATCTGGTTGAAATAGACCGAAGGGTAGGCAAGCACTCAGATATGCTTAGGAGTATGTTTGTTTAGTATGTGGTATTTTGGGGAAACTCATTAAGCTTTGTGCTTACAGTTTTCAGTTTATGTTTCAGATACTTCCAGTTCGAAGGGGAAGGGACCGCCTGATCGCACCGCATCACCCTATGTTTTCCGCATTTGAGATTTTGGGATTTTGTACTCTGAGAATATGCTACCATGATACACATTTGACTGATTTATTATGAGTAATCTATATTTGAATGAACTTAAAAACAAAAAAAAATTATCTGTATTTTGGGATGTTACGCCATCGAGGTGTCCAAGAACATTGAATCCAAACCAGTGAGTTTTAAATAGCTCTCGCCATACGTCATAGTGAAATTTGTTTAGATCAAGGATCAGGGGTGCATAAGATTGGGTGGTAGTGGTGATGGTGAAGGGTTTGTTGTTCACCTGGGGTTGAGCATTGTCAGCCATGAGATCGTATAAAGGAGAGATGCGAGAAGAAAGTAGGAGAAGTAGATGAATAATACGACATCAATGCAATGATGGTAGTCTGTTAAGGTTGAGCAAAGAAGGCAAATGGATGGATAGCAGAGAAAGAATCCCTGATACCATGTATGTTTTAAATGTTTTCGTATCAGATTTCTCATTGCATTGGAGCAAGGTTGTCAAGATCATGATCTTACTTATGATCGTTTTATGTTTTGCAAGATTGTGATTGTAAGATCAGATCGAGATCGAAAGATCCTACCAAAATGAACTCATATTCAAATTTGCTCGGAAGATATTGGGTGTAAAGTATACATTATAACTTGATGTTGATTAAGACATCGATAGTGGAATCAAATTTAACTTCTTAAGCATGAACCATAAATTTTGTTGCTACAAACCATAAGAAGAAAACATTTTAATTAGAAAAAAATAAAATCATTTTGATAATGTACAACTTAAGACATGAGATCACAAAGGGATTGTTATGCGTGCATTCTGCCTAATTTAAGATGAACTAATAAAATAGTGATGTTCTACAAGACTTCTCGCGATGGTCGATTTCAAGTTGAATAGACGATTTTTGAAACTCATGTATATAATAAAACTAAAGAGGTGAGATCGAGATCGTAGTGTGATTAAGATCGGTTTTCACTTATAGGATTTTAAAATCATAAGATCTTAATATCAAGATCGGGACTTTAATGAACGTAAAATACGTACTAATAGATATGGATGTCTAAAAGTTGAAAGAACTTTTAAGCATCCAATTCAATTCAAGGTGGAATGGTTGTTTTGTTTTTTTTTTATCGAGGGTGTGAAGTTTTGTAAGCTATTTTCTGACTTACAAATAAGTCTATGGACTAAAAGAGTTGGTGGTGGTTAAAGTTAAAACGACATTTTTGAGTTTGGTATAGAAAGAATAAAGTTTTGTTGAAAGAATTTAATACATATTTTCATATCTAGTTACTTTTCCTCTTTCTTTCCGTTGTATAGATGTTCCTATCTCATCGAAGAAATAACAAGTCCAGGGTTTTTGCAACTATTGAAGCACCTCTTCTTGTTAAATGATTCCACAAACACTTTTTTGCACAACAGTAGTGGTGGTAGTGTTCCCAAGTATCAAAACAAAAAGCATACAAATCATATCATACCCGTCACCCGGCAAATGACATGCTTTTCAGACGATATGTATGCTATGCATATGACGGGCTTGGATGGTTTCCACTTTCCTGGTCAGATGCATAGCTTAAAAGCATTTATTACCATCATATGATAATATAATCTTGTGAATTAGTTTCCAAGGAAGTCGATCTGCTACACAATTCTTTTTGTATGATTATGGAAATAGGAAATGATTATGAAGCAACTTTACAGTAAGTATATGATTCCTCTTCCTTTCCTCTCCTCTCTACAGGCAGGCCAAATTCTTATTATCTTCAGGGTCACAAATATACACAATTATCTGCAGGTGGGGTCCATGCCATTTGGACTGCTACTCAGACGCTGACAGATGAGGCTGATGATGATGATGATGATGATGATGGTGGTGGTGGGGTCACTGAGCCATTATCCTTATCCTTTATTTTGCTGCTGCTGGTTTTCCCTTGATCCTTGTTCACCATCACCGGTTTAAACTGGGAAAAGAATACAAATATGAAAAAGTCCACACAACAAACATATTAATATGTTATATTGACATGATTTGATACCTGGTATATAGAATATATAACATTTCTTCTTATTTGCGCCATCATCTCAATAAACAGATTGTAGCCTTCCAGCTTGTACTCGATCAAAGGATCTCTTTGTGCATATCCACGTAACCCTACAGCTTGTTGAACAAATTTAAGTGCTTGCAAGTGTTCTTTCCATAGCCTATCTATGTTGCTCAATATCAGAAACCTTTCTGCTTCCTTCATCAACCCTGGAGCTTCTTTCTCCACAATATCCTATGATAATAATAATAATAATTAGGTGGTGTGGTGCTTCTCTTCTACAATTCACAATTTACATCCATTCTTTCTTACCCTCTTCTGTAAATATGCTTTGCGTCCACAAACACGAAGATAAATCCTCAAATCTTCATAAGTCGCACACTGGCTTGCCAGTAAATCTGGAGTCAAGTCATTCAAAAGATAGCAATACCTGTACTCACAAAAATCATCTTTAATGGAGTTTTCAGAGAAAATAAGCAACCTCTTCAGACTACAACTTACTGCTGGAGTTTTGCAATAAGCTTTTCAAAATCCCAGTTTTCCTTTGGAGCATCAGAACCAATATTTGCCTACAACAAAGTTTAACAAAAATAAAATGGTAAATCATTTTTACTTCTTTGATTAATCATTTGTTTACCTCTAATATGTCATCCATTGTGAGTTCAGAATATTCGATCAATAGAGATTGAAGATCTTCAGACTGTAGAGCTCTCCTTCTCTCTGTATAGACACGGTCTCTTTGGCTGTTGAGAACCTCGTCATACTCAAATAATTGCTTTCTGATATCAAAAAAGTAATTCTCCACTTTTCTTTGAGCTTCGTCCAATGCTTTCGTCAACATTTTTGATTCAATTGGTAAATCCTCAACTCTAAAAGCCCTCATCATACCCTACAACTTGCAACTTTTTAAACTGATTTCCAAATTAAGCATTAATAATCATATCAAAAGAAAAGAGAAAATTAAACCTGAATTCTATCACCCCCAAAAATGCGAAAGATATTATCTTCCAGACTAAGGAAGAAACGCGAACTTCCAGGATCCCCCTGCCTGCCACTTCTACCACGCAGCTGTATACATTTCATTTGGAAACTAATATATTATTATTATTATTATTATTAATTGTTAAGTTAAATTATAAAAAATTGCACCTGGTTGTCGATTCTCCGTGATTCATGGCGTTCCGTCCCGATGACATGAAGTCCCCCAGCTGCTACAACCTGTGACACAGAAGCACAACATTTTTATTATTCTTGATTTCTTTCATGTCATTTACACTCATGTATGTGTAAAGTGGCTGTCTAAAATCTAAATCACCACTTTACCCTTACATTCCAAAAAATAAATTTCACAATATTCATCAGAGTTAGGAGGAAAAAAGAAGGGCAAATGTGTAAAGAGTCGGTGTCTTAATACATTAAGCCAGGTTAGTAAGGAAACAACCATGTATATAGCTAAGCTAGCTGCCCAGATGAAGTGGTTAACCCATTAAGTCACAAAGAAACAGCCCCTTACCTTCTTCCTTTCTTCCTCGGTGTAAGTCTTATATTCTTTTGCAATTTGTAGGAAAGAATGGCGCAATTTGGCAATTACTTCATCTTGAGCAGGACCCTATAGAAACTACCCAACATTAGAGTTGTTTAGGGAATGAACTTGTTACAAAAACAAAGACATCATCTATCGACAGACAGGTGGCACCTTTTCACAAGCATAAGATAGCCGCTCTTCTGCTTCCAACTCAGCTAAAGATCTTCGACCCCATGAACTGACAGCCAAATGTACAGCTTCCTCAACCACCAAGCTATTTTCTTGAGATAGTGAACACGGGAACAAACTTTCACTCACCTAAAAATGCACCCAAAAGTAAGAGAATACATATGGCTAAATACAAACACACACACACAGACCTTCCATGTCTTCTTTGGGGGAGATTTCTTCACAGAAACAAAAACTCCCTCAGCTGGCTTTACAATGCTGCAACATTTATTAAGTGAAAGCTGTTTAAGGAACTAAAAGCAAAAATAGATTTTGTTGTATTCTTACCTTGGCATGAGCAACTCACGTAGCTTCAACCTAGCCATAAACTCTGCATTACCACCAAGAATTATATCGGTTCCTCGGCCCGCCATATTTGTAGCAATAGTAACTGCACCAAGGCGACCACTTTGTGCCACAATCTCAGCTTCTCTTTCCACATTTTCTGGTTTGGCATTTAGAACCTAAGTTGGCTCCAAATATCAAATATAATGTGAGTGTATTATTCATTTTATCATTTATACCTATGTTGTTCTTCTTCTCTTAGAAAAACAAGATAGGAATAGGATTCAATGAATCACCTCATGAGGGATTCCAGCTTCACGGAGTGGTTTGGACAATGTGTCACTCTGTTCAACACTGGTTGTCCCAACAAGCACAGGCCGCCCTGTCTTGTTCATTCTAGAAATTTCTACCACCACCGCCTGCCATTTTCCCGTGGTTGCCCTAAATACCACGTCTGAGTCATCCTAAACATCACATCACATCACATCACTCCTTTTCAATATTCATTTTCATGAAAAAACAGAAAGAAAACACGTGGTGGAATATTTCAAATTAATGAACCTTTCTTATCATAGGCTTGTTTGTGGGCACAATTGTAACTTTGAGCTTGTAAATACTTTCAAACTCTGAACTCTCAGTTGCAGCGGTGCCAGTCATGCCACAAAGTTTTGGGAACTAATAGAAACGTAAAAATCCCATTAGCTTCAACAACTATAACAAGTTGACTTGTCAACCCTCTAAAGATCACAAAGATGCTTAGAACCTGAAGAAAGAAGTTTTGGTAGCTAATTGAGGCCAGTGTCACCGTCTCATTTTGTATGGGCAAGCTTTCTTTGGCTTCCACCGCCTGGTGAAGCCCATCACTCCAACGCCTCCCCTGTAACACAATAAAATACACCTCATTTACTTCCAACTTGGAAACAAGATATGTATATATAAACTAAAAACTGAAATCCTTTACCTGCATGACTCGACCACTAACTCGTCCACTATGAGAACCTCTTTGGCACGTATAATATAGTTGACATCTCTGAGAAAGAGCTCTTTAGCTTTTATTGCATTCAAGACGAATGAGGCCCACTGTTCTCGAGGATCATATAGATCCTTTACTTCTAGAATTTCCTCAGCATCTGCATAACCCTGTTCTGTGAGTAAAACATTTTTCTGCTTCTCATCAACCTGCAAGAAATGGCCAAGTGGCAGATGCACATTAGAAAAGAAAAAAAAAGTATATTTGCAAGCATCTTTCTTTCTGAATCCTGACCGTATAATGTATATCTCGCTCAAAAGCAGCAGCTATTTTAGCAGCTTTGTAGTATTGTTCGCTTGGTTTTTCAGCAGGTCCTGATATAATAAGAGGAGTTCTTGCTTCATCAATTAGAATTGAATCGACCTCATCGATGACACAGTAATTGAAACCTCTTAATACAAGCTCATCAACACTCTGTAGACCAAGAGAAGAAGTTATAAGTGAAAATGAATGGTATAAGAGAATATTATTGAAGACTGCGTATAGCATAAATTACTTTCCATGGCAAGATTGTCTCTTAAGTAATCAAAACCAAGCTCACTATTGGTGACGTATGTGATGTCACACAAGTAATTCTGCCTCCTTTGTTCACTTGTCATGTTTTCTGCGAAATAATTGATTTTCAGGGGGGATACTTTCAACTAAGAAACCTGAGATCTAGAATACACCAGCGCTCATAGCTAATCAAGTACAATTGCATCTATTAGGAAAGGAAAAATGTCAAGAAGAACAAGAGGAAAACTCTGAGTTTTCCAGTTAGACAGAAAAAGATGAAAATCAACCAAAAAGATCTTAATAACATCATCTCATGTATGCTATTTAAGTAATGACATGTTTTTTGAGTTTTGTAGGCCTGGGTTGTAGCATAGGGCACATCGTTCTTTGAAGTTGCAATAGGATGACATGGGCACCAAGGTAAAAGTGCACTGAGCCCACCCACAAAAGGGAAAAGCCTTCATCAAAATAGGTCATAATGAGTCTATTACTGTAATTATTGGGTAATTTTTTATGTTATCATGAACCAAGCCCACAAACTCTTAATCCAACTGACACAAAACAACAAAAAGAGCTAAATTGTCAAGCCTTGTATGGTTTTTGGTTTAACATACCGATGATTTTCTAGTTAATATGGTCACTCTCACTCTAAAGTGTTTATGTTGTGCTCGGATATGATACTTCATTACTCATCTTTTTTACAGTTGTGCAAAACAGTTTGCAACAAACATGGCATCATTTCTGGTACAATGCAAAAATCCTAGTTATCACACCTAATTCTTGTCACCAGAATTTTGAGGTACACGAAGAAAGAGCGTTGATCTTATTTGGATTGAAAGTTAGATAACAAAGTCCTCCTAACTTTGTTATCCATCCACCTTCAACATTATACAATAACCATAGGCATATAAATCAAAACAAGAAGAAGAAGAAGAAGAAGTATACGCTGGATTAGGCCAACCGTGAGTCCAAGAAAACGGGCAACTTGACCGACCCATTCACAGTCCCTCCTTGCAAGGTAATCGTTCACAGTAACAACATGAACTCCTTTACCACTTAAAGCATTTAAATAAGCTGGTAATATGGCCACCAGAGTCTTTCCCTCTCCTGTCCTCATTTCAGCTATTTCTCCTTTATGAAGTACCATGCCACCTACATCACCATAGCATGTTTGTATATTGTAAATTTGTAATGGACATTAAACTTTCATGCTTTTTAAGCAGCCTAGTTTCTCATTTCAGGCTTGCTGTTGTAGCCGAATTGAACTCAAAACAATTATTTATTTACCTATCAGTTGAACATCAAAAATTTACCTATCAGTTGAACATCAAAAGGACGAAGACCTAGAACCCTCCTCGAAGCCTCTCTCACTATAGCAAACGCCTCCTGCACGATATTATATGTATTGAGAATGATAAGCCACGGAGCACAACACTTCTAACAGCCAAAGTAATGATTTAAGAACGTTGCAGAGAAAGAGGAATATAGGTCTTCCAACAAGAGGTGGTTTATGAGATAGAAGCGAGGATATGAACCAACAGGACCGAAAAAATAAAGTCAGTTATCTCTTTTTCTTGCATTGTATTAATTCAAAGGGGAAAATGTGTAGAGAACATTAGAACAATACATGGTCTCCAAATCCCAAATGTGATATAGAAATGAGATGTGCTTACAGGTAAAATAGAGTCTAAAGATTGGGGAGCTTGGCGAGCTCGTTGCCTCAAGAGAGTGGTCCTATCCCTCAGCTGAGAGTCCGAGAGAGACATCAGCTCGGATTCAAGAGAGTTGATGAGAGCGACGGTGGCAGAGTATTGCTGCCTGGTGGACTCCCCGGTGTCAGCCCCACCCTTGAAGATTCCGCCCAGTAGACCTCCTAATGACGCCGCCGCCACTGTCATCGTCTTCCGCTCTCTTGGAACGTAAAAATGACAATATCCGTGTACCGAGTTATTTTTTCCACCCCGGAAAAGGAAGCTACTGCTACTGGTGCATTCCCTTAATAGTAGAAGATTTCGAGTGCAATAACTATTGAGCTGACGATGAAAAGTGGGAAATTTGGAACTGAAAGGTGAAACAGAATAGGATGATGGGGAGGAAAAGTTATTGGTGGGCGACAGAGATGGGAGCGCCATTCCACTTCCCAAAAATTACTACTACTGTTATATACTTGCTACTGGGTGCCCCATGACTTCGAAGGTAAGAACCCCTTCTCCAGTTATGCAACGAAGAAGATGAGTGGGGAAAATTGGATGAGACTAGCAACGCAAACTGCTTCGGATAAGGTGTCGATCTTGATATACCGAGATCGGGAAATTAGTAAATTATACTTTTGGTCCATGTGGTTTACACCCATGTGTAGTTTGAGTCCAACTTTTTGAAAATTGATATGGGTCGTCTCTATAGTTCTCGAAAGTTGTATGGCTGGTCCCTGTGATTGTGATTGTTACCGTCTAAGATGTTCCACTTAAAGGAGAGCATGTGTCCCTCTTGATGGTAAATTGTCTTTTCAACCACATTTTATACTATTAATAGCTTAAGTAAATTGTCTTTTCAACCACATTTTATACTATTAATAGCTTAATTAAGGCTATGATTTACAGCATCACTCCCTACGATTCATCATCTTCCCAAGAAAAACCTTATTCATCTTCTCCAACTTTCTCCTTGTGATCATTTGCCTTAATCTTGAACATTGCAATTAGAAAAATCTTGGGAGAAAAAACAAAGAAACAAGATGTTCCAAACCCACAATGTGGCATATTTGCAGTTCATCAATCGGTGTAGATGCAAATAAGGTTTACAATTAATTTAACATAACAATGTTTGAGCTTAGATCTTTGAAAAAAAAATGTTTTTACTTAAAAAATCATTCTTTTATATAGGGTCTTTCGATTTTTTTTCCCAATGAGAATCAATCATGGTGTATTTTTATCCAAAGTTCCTAGATGGAAAGGTAACATATGTGGAGTACGTTAATATTGGGGAGTTCTCTATATATGAACTCGATGTGAGGGACGCGTTCGATTGATGGACAGAAGAAACATGCATGGTTAAGACGACTCGGAGTGGGCAACGGCGAGTGCCATTTTGGTGACGTGGACAGCCTTTAACGGCCCCACTTCCTGTTATGTGGTCTTCAGTGGTGATGGCAACGAGTTGCAACACGATTTTCCCTTTGATTTCTCTTTTTCTTCCTCATTTTTGTCTTCACCTCAACGTCTTTCCTTACATGGAACACCACTCCCAAAAAAATGGTGGAGATTAAGAAGATTTTTGGTGCTGACCTGGCCTCACCACCCCGTTGACCATACCCAATGTTCTAAAAAGCTCGTCATGACACGTTATGGATCTAAGGCTTATACTTGCTGTCAAATTTTGATACAATGTCGCCTTAAGTCACATATATGTAAAATTGGATAATAGTAGAATATATGTGACATCCCCATTTTCACGGCCAGAAAAGACCGATTTTGTTTATGCTTGTTTGAAAATCAGAGTAACATTTTAAATAAAAGTGTTGTGGAATTTGTCCCAAAACAAAATATGATAAAGATTTATAAAGCATTTCCGTAGAAATGTATTTCATTAAAAAGACTCGGGATGTCATGTTCGATACAGATCAAAAGCATAAACAGTACAATATAAGCCTTACTATATTATTTCATATCTACAGGCCTATATTCGTAATCCCTCATCCAAAACATCACATCTATGCTCGAACGTCACTACCTGTAATACATGAAACTGAGTGGGTCAGGCTTGAGAGCCTGGTGAGCACATAGGGTTTTCAACCCATAATAAATAATTTATTAAATTCATCAACCAACAATAACCCGATTACCCGTTCCCGTTATCCTCACATTACGTCCCTAAACACCTATCATAAGGGACTTAGACTAAGGATCATCATCGGGATGGACACCACTGCTAAGGGGGTTCCTCAGCAATAAATGTCCTAAAGGCAACCATGAGGGGGATGGAGTACACCGGTGAACACATCGTTCACAAACACCTACAGGTTGCGAGCCTGCTAGCGTTCCACTGGACTGTCTAGAACATCGAGGTCTCTCATCATTTTATCAGACATCGTCTTATTACATCTACCCATGTTTTACCCCAATATTTTTGTAGATAAAAAATACATATACATTTTAAATCATTTAAAACATGTATAAAAATCTTTCATCAGCATAGACAGCAAGCATTCAGATAATATGCACACATAGCACGTAGTTTATAATAAATACTTCATATCTATGTGTAAGATGAAAGGGACTATGCACTCACTTGATTAGGTGGTGACTTGGCACTTGAACAGCACTTCGTTATCTCAAAACAATTTTTCCTCGACCAAAACCTAGTATTAATACCACTAGGGTTTAGTTTTAACGTTAACCGCGACTAATTAATAGTCTAGCTATTATTATTATATAAGCGTTAAATCACACTCAATATAACTCATAATAATAGCCCAAATAATTATTTTAAGGACCTAATAACATTACTATAATTATTTAAAAGTTATATTAAAAATTGCGTAGGCGTAGCTCACTTACAGCGAATTTTAAAGAAAACCGGGCTTTGCTCGGAGCAGCGTTTCCGAACCGAAAGACCCTTTTCTCGGGACTCCGGGAGCCTCGGGGCTTCCTTTAGGTGCTAGGGATTTTTCCTAGGGCTTAGGGGTGGTTTGGGGAGCTAGAGAGAGAAATAAACTAGAGAGAGAAGTGAAAATGTGTGAAAAATCCGGGAGAATTCGCATGGTATTTATAGGGGCCGAAGTTCGGATCTACGCGGGGCGTTCAGCAAGTTACGCGGGGCGTAACTTCGGATAAGGGTGCCAGCTTCGCACAGCTGGCTCGCACTCGCAAGAGGATCAGGTCCGAAGGTACGCTGGGCGTACCAGCCTTGGACGCGGGGCGTAGGGCGAAGCGACGTGTCTCCATCCGAAGCGAAGCCTTGGGCAACAAGCAACGACTCAGATGCGGCCACGTCATCACCTTTCTCGCAGATTCGTAATTTTGCTTCCCGACTTCTAAAAATCATAACTTTCGCATACGAGCTCCGTTTTCGACGTTCTTTATATCCACGCGTAGTCGGGAACGTACTCTACAACTTTCGTTTAGACTCTGTCGGCTAATTTTGACTTTATTTTAAAAGTTATATTTTTAACAGGCCGGGACAGGATTGGTCCGTTAAAAATTCATAACTTCTTCATCCGACGTCCGTTTTCGTCTGTCTTTTTATCGTTATGCTACTATTAACGAGATCTTAGATTCTTGTTTAGGTTGTGTCGGCTAAAAACCGCTCGATCTACTATTCGAACTTCGGGTTGTACACTGCTAAGCCGAAACTTCGAAAAATCATAACTTCCTCATACGAAGTCAGATTTGGGCGTTCTTTTTATGGACGCTCTCGGTTTAACGTATTCTACGACTTTCGTTTAGATCGCTAAGGCTAATACTCGCTCTATCGTAAATTCACTATTTACGCTTCTCGGTGTCGTGCCGGTTCCGTCGCGAAACTTCGACGGGTCATAACTTCTTTGTTATAACTCGGATTTCGGCGTTCTTTATATCGCCGGAACCCTTATTTCGACCACTACAACTTTATGTAAAGATATCAGGATTATCTCACACTTTAATTTTGATGCTTATTTTTATTCTTTATTAATTATACATTTATAATTAAATAATAAGCACACAAATACACATAATTCACATAGTATTCAAATATTTCATCTTTATTACATCAAAAAGAGTTACAATAGTTGACCTAGACTATTACATTGTCTAAAAATGCTTAGCCCCGAAACCCGGACGTTAATATATATATATATATATATATATATCAAATTATTAATTATATACTATAAATTACTTTTAGTTGCAACCAATGAGAGAAATGTGATCATGACCTTATATAAATGTTAGTAAACATACATACTATCATCAATCATACTTGGTGGTCTTGATGATTTAGAAACTTTGCATAGTCTTGCCAAGAACAAGATCAAGATCAAGATGGGTAACAAGATTAATTAAGTTATGATTCGATAATCTCATATCACTCTTCAGGGATTTGGAATTCAAGGTCCAGCTTTCTCTTCAAATGAGTTCTGTCAGCACTGTAGTTGTACAAAACTCATTATAAATCATAACAACTGAACTACGATCGAATGCGAATCAACAAAGCCCAAAGCTATGTAACTAACGCCTATCACGTCCAAAATTTAAACACTCGTCTTTTTAAAGAAGAGAATCATAGCAAAGATTTTCGAAAACCCAACTTCATGGCAATAATAATGAATGCCATATCTTTTTGTGTTGTCCCCATAACATAAGAACGCAATACTTTCATTTTTGGTAGCTTTCATTACTTGATATATTTATAACTTCATAATTTGGTCCACATGATTCTTTTTATATTTTCCTTATTAAGGGAGGCACCTGGCCCTGCCACACTCAAACAAAACTCATGACTTTCTAATGCTCAGATATACATCAACACTCATTGAAAGGGTAAAGACACTAGTAATTTCAATATATATATATATATATATATATATATAGGTTATAATGTGGATGGACAATTATTGTACGGACGTGTGCACAATGTGATTCTATGACAATTACTAAGAGAATAAGTTGTTTAGTAATGCGAATACGTTCAACCTTACAAAAATATCGTCATTTTCATGCATTCTCACTAATTCTTATTCATTTTTGTTCTTACAAATCATTTTTCACTCATTTTCATTCTAACAGAATACGACTCAATAAACATTCTGACAGAATGAGAATAATAATAAAAAGTCTATAATAACCTTATAGACGATTTAATTAGTGAGAACATGTGATAATGACAATAGTTATGTAAGATTGAACGTATTCATATCATCAAACAATATATTTTCTTTGTCATTCTCACAAAATAGCATTGTCCACACGTCCGCACAATAGATGTTCATCCACATTTGAACCTAGCTCTCTCTCTCTCTCTCTCTATATATATATATATATATATATATATATATATATATATATATATATATATATATATATAAGTTACTCAAGTCTCATGAACATTTATTAGCATATATACATCAGGATCACCAACATATCTATTAATCTACTGGATATTATTCACTCACTCGATCAATCAAGAAAGCGCTAAAGGGTGAAAAAAATATTATCAACATCATTAACCTTAACGTTCAAATTTTTACCTTTCTTAGATGAATCAAAAATACAGCTTTTTAAGCACTTCATTGACATTAAAAAAAGACTTGGCATGTTGTTTATAAAAATGTTTGATTATAAGTTAAATGTCTAAAATACCCCTCAATAAAGATAAAATAAAATAAATGTGTGTAAAAAGATTTAAGTTGAGACATCATACGATAATTAATAATGGGCAAAAAAAAATAGATTAAGATTACGAAGTTGGAAAAAAGACGTGTTGCATTTTATTATGGCCCAAAGATTTGTGTTTTAAATTTGTTTAATAATGAGAACTCTCAATAATATAAATAGCTTCCATCTCAATAAAAGTGTTGCAAATTTTGAAAAAAAAATGAGAGTATGAAAATTTCAAGAAATAAATGTGGTGGAAAAGTTTGAACTTAAAAAAAATATATATCTTTCAAAACAAGTATATGAATGTGATGGAGTGTTAGCCCTAGGTGTATAGTAGTTCATTATAGGCATGGTTAACCAATTAAAGACAATCAGATTGTGAAAAAATAGCTAATACATTATTTCCATAATAAAATTAATCTATAATAGAGTTGGAACATACACTGAATTTGATGATAAAAAATTAAGAGAGGAAAGGAGAATAGCGCAAGTATGTGTTCTTTTGTGTTTTAATACAATTAATAAAAATAAGATTTCAGATAGAGGGAGTGCAATAAAAAATATATTGTTAATGGTATTTACATGTTGATAGTTGGTCTAGCTGGAGGTCTTGTTGCAAAGACGGAAAAATCAAGTGACATTGGTGCGGGTCCACTTGTTTCATTTCCATTTCTATGGTCTGGAACAGACACTGACACTGGCACTGGCACGACTCTTCTTGATTTCCTAGTTGCAGGTGACATCACAGTTGGTGGATTGAAATCTGTAGACTCTTTCTTTGGTGGAGGCTGTGGAAGCAAAGTTGGTTCAGTAGGTGGAGGTCCAGAGGAGAAGTACCTACCAATACCATCAAATTTTTTATTTAATAAATAATCAGCTGAGAGGATTATTAATATTACCTAACAACCTACCTATGCTCTAATGTCTGGTGTGCTGAAATTCTAGCTTTTGGATCGTACGCAAACATCTTGGATAACAGATCCAATGCATCATCATTGGTCATTGGAAACGTCGTCCGAAGTGGCTGCCCAGGAACACACTGGTACTCAACATAATCAGGAAGATAAATCATATCTTCCCACTGAGAAGCTTTTGAAGTCCCAAATGCAGCAAATATTTTCCCCAACTGATCTATATCACTGCTACCCTGACAACAACTATATGTTATGTTATGTTTATTTATTGAATCAAACAAACAAAGGATTTTAGCTTTCAAATAAGCAACCAACCTATAGAAAAGGACGGCGTAGAAGGAGCTCAGCAAATATACAAGTTGTTGCCCAAACATCAACCCCAAGACCATACTGTTTGGCACCAAATAATAGTTCTGGAGCTCTATACCATCGAGCAAACACCTACCTTATCACAAATATAAAATCACTTATTTTTATGATATTATGATACACATCAACTGATTGATATAAAAGAAAATTTGGATACCTACCTGGTGAGTGAACCTTCTGTCGGGACTGCCAAATATGAGTGCCAGTCCAAAATCTGCAAGTTTTAGTCGTCCATCAGGTCCTATCATCAGATTATTTGGTTTCATATCCCTGCCAACACAACCAACATCCATTTCAGGTTCATGCCATTAGGCATTAACAACTACTTCAAAGCTAAAAAAAATCATCAACTAACTACCTACCTACCTACCAGTGCAAAACCCATTTCTTGTGGCAAAAGGCAAGTCCTTTCAATGTCATTTGAAGGTATGACTTTATATCGGTGGGGGAAATAACGATGTTCCTATCCTGGGTAACAGCTGTTGGATTAATGTCTAAGTCCATAACTATAATTGGTATGTACTTGACCCGACTCGGCATGGTCCATTTGGGTTACATGGCATCGGAACATTTGGATAGACCGTTTGTGAGGAGAAGACATTTGTGACATATTAATATATTATAAGTTCTAATATATTAATATGAAATCATGTTATTTAATTAGTATTGATCAAGAATTAATTTGGACTTAATTTAGTGATCAAAACGAGACTAATTAAATATATGGGGATTGATTGTGTAAATCATTCATTCTTATATATGTGGGCTTATGATCCATGATTCCTTATGTTGGGTGTAACCCATGTGGTGATCCATGGATACTCCATGGAGGTTAAAACCCATGGAGCATAAGGAATGGGTAAAGTCATGAGTTACATGGTGTAACCCTAATGTGCACACTATATAAGGACCCCTTTAGCTCATGAAATTGGCACTAGTGATACATATGTGAGGGCTAGCCGAATTTGAGCATGAGTGTCTTCTTCTCATGGTTATTCCATGTGTTGATGATGTTGTGTGAACCATTTGAGGTGTCACATTTGGGGCACTGGGCTCTCAAGCTACATGGAGTCAAGCTACATCAACAATGTATGCATTTCTATCTAGTTTATTACCCAAGTATCAAAAGATTGTATGCTAGTTAGGGTAATACCTTGGATATTCATATTTGCATGTATAATAGAGAAAACATAGATCCAAGGTATTTAGGGTTGCATGTACACTTAGGAGTGTTAGAATGCTTAAAACCCAAGAACAGCTTCCAGATCAGTCTCCATAAACTCAAAAACAAGATGCAAGTTCCCTTTATGAGGAAAAGCATCAATCAGCTCTATTATATTTGGATCCTTGAGCTCTTTCAGCAACTTGATTTCTCTTAGAGCAGTAAAATTCACCCCTTCCTTTTGCTTCCCAAGCCGGATTTTCTTTATTGCAACAGTTTGCCCTGTGTAACGACGTAAATTTTCAAACCAAAATTTTCATTTTTAAAACCACTTAATTCTCATAACATATCTCACAAAAATCCCATTGATTTAATTTACAAAACGCAACTCTATAATTATTCGATTAATAATCCAGGATCCTCAAAACGTAAGTTTTTCTCTGGTGTGTACAATCGAACCGGCGCCTTCCCGCGATCCTAAGAAGAACCTGAAACACATATTACATAACACGGTAAGCACAAAGCTTAGTGAGTTCCCCAAAATGCCACACATATATCATTAGCCTCTCATGGCTAAACACAAATAAGATCCTCCGATCAATGTGTTTCGGTGGGACCCTCCGGTCCCAAAACTCAGTAAGCTCAGAATAATACACAACATCAATCACAAAGACATAATGCAGGATATCAAAATACTCAATATAAGCACATAAGACCCTTCGGTCACACAAAGGTTACCACACTAGGTAAATATAGTGAGAAGACTCACCTCAGATGATGAACAGCCCCTATAAACGCTGCTGCTACGCACCGGCCACTAACTCTGTGCCAAACCCACAATTAACCCAATTAGGAACTAAGTCCAAACTCTCACTCATTAGGTCTAAAGGTAGTCCACTAGCCCGCTCATCAATAACCTAAAACCCATTGGGCCCACCAAGGCCCAACTCTCAAATCTAAATGGCAAGCCCAACTCAAGGGAATAGAGGAATATATATATATATATATATATATATATATATATATATATATATATATATATATATATATATTCCTCTAGTCCAAAACTCTATTGCAACAAGCCCAAACTCTAGGCCCAACACTCAAGGCCCAAAATGAGACTTAGCCCAAAAGTCCACAGTGAGGTTACGCGGGGCGTACCTCCCTTGGTCAGAGTTCATCGACAAGGTCAGAGTTCGACAACGGCTTTTGATAGCTACGATTTCCAGTTGGTTCTTGAAGTCATACGCAATAATAGTTTTAGACTTATCCAAGTGGGAGACTGTTGGATTAGTGTCTAAGTCCATAACTATAATTGGTGTGTACTTGACCCGACTCGGCATGGTCCATTTGGGTTGCATGGCATCAGAACATTTGGATAGACCGTTTGTGAGGAGAAGACATTTGTGACATATTAATATATTATAAGTTCTAATATATTAATATGAAATCATGTTATTTAATTAGTATTGATCAAGAATTAATTTGGACTTAATTTAGTGATCAAAACGAGACTAATTAAATATATGGGGATTGATTGTGTAAATCATTCATTCTTATATATGTGGGCTTATGATCCATGATTCCTTATGTTGGGTGTAACCCATGTGGTGATCCATGGATACTCCATGGAGGTTAAAACCCATGGAGCATAAGGAATGGGTAAAGTCATGAGTTACATGGTGTAACCCTAATGTGCACACTATATAAGGACCCCTTTAGCTCATGAAATTGGCACTAGTGATACATATGTGAGGGCTAGCCGAATTTGAGCATGAGTGTCTTCTTCTCATGGTTATTCCATGTGTTGATGATGTTGTGTGAACCATTTGAGGTGTCACATTTGGGGCACTGGGCTCTCAAGCTACATGGAGTCAAGCTACATCAACAATGTATGCATTTCTATCTAGTTTATTACCCAAGTATCAAAAGATTGTATGCTAGTTAGGGTAATACCTTGGATATTCATATTTGCATGTATAATAGAGAAAACATAGATCCAAGGTATTTAGGGTTGCATGTACACTTAGGAGTGTTAGAATGCTCAAAACCGAACAGTGGTATCAGAGACTAGGCTTGTTTTCTTGTTATACTTGCAAAAATGGCTGAAAAATCGAAATTTGTTGCTGTCTGAACAGCAGACTCGCTGAGTCCATGGAGGGACTCGACGAGTCCAAGGAAAAAATCATCCAACTCGCCGAGTTGGTTCATGCACTCGACGAGTTGGACCCCCTGACAGCATATTTTCGACTGTTTTGGCTGGAATTGGACTAGGAACATTACCCTAAGCCGTTTTTCAACTTATAAACCTATTTTTGATGTGGTAATGTTCATGCTAATCCAATTTCAAAGATAATTGTCAATAGATTCATGTTTTGTATTAGTTTAAGGATTAGGCTAATTACATGAAAAGTTTAATTTGTATTATCTTGTTCTTATGAGTTGCTTAGATTAATAGAAAAAGTTATGTGAAAAATGTGTTTTCAATCCAAATTAATCTAAGAGTTGATTCTAAAATGTGTTTTTGTAACTTGTCCTCAAGTTATGTGAAAAGTCACATTTAAGATTCATAAAACTCATAAAGTTTTCCATAAGTTATGAATAAGGAAGAGTCACATTCTTTTAATGGTTTAATGTCTTCCATAACTTGTCCTCAGGTTATGGAACTTGAAGAGTTTTTAATTAAAACTACTTTAAACTCATAAGTTATGGAATTGAATAGTTTTGAATAGTTTCAAAACTTGCCCTCAAGTTTTGGAATTTGTAAAGTTTTCCCTTATGACTACTTTAATTCCAAGTTAAGCCCTTAGAATTTTAAAAGTTAAAATTCAACCCTTATACTTTATAATATTTAAGTTAATATATATATATATATATATATATATATATATATATATATATATATATATATATATAAGAGCAAGTCAGTCTTACCGTTAGTAGGCCTCATTCATGAAGCCGGTCTATAATGGGGTATAAGGTTACTGCCTATAAAATGGCATTTCAATGGGTGTCCACTCTCACCCACTGCTTCCTTGACTGGTGGAGGGTCGTTAGCCGAACGGGTAGGGCAAGGGCTATAATTATCCCTTCATTAAAAGTATTAATGATAAATACTAAGTAACTAAACACTTATAAATTCCCAATCTTAGTTACTTAGGAAAATGTGAATAAGGTGTTAACCCATGAAATTACACTTTGCACTTTGCTTAAGTCGGTTAGTGGAGCGTGTGTGGTTAACCGGCACACTAGCTTGATTTAACAAGGTAGGCAAAGGGTTTCTTAAAGTTTATCATAGGCCGGTGGAGCGTGTGTGGTTAACCGACACATCGTTTGAGTGATAAACATTTAAGAGTACCAAGTAATTTGCATGGTTACTTCACACCTTGTTTTTTGATCCTCGACATCCCAGTCACAAAACTTGAAGGGCACAATCGAGATTGAAACATGCCATTGAACAATTCAATGAATGTCAAAAGATCTTGGAGTTTCAAATCCAAGTAAAACCTAATTAAATTATTTCGTTTTCATGGTGGAAATTGGTGAATCGTCATTCACCTACCTTCATATATTTTATAGCCTGGATTACGGCATCCCTCTTCCAAGTTATAAAATATTGTGTTGGGTCCTAGCCTTAATATTTCATATTGGGTGTTATATCAAGGACTTTAAATCAACTATCTTGAATATCTCCCAAAAGATGTCTAGTTCTGACATCTATGATCTTCCCAAATCTCTTGGAACTTCACTTCCTCCACCTCCTCCAATTATTCTCCCTGACCCACAAGTTCAAGGTCACTCAAGCCCTATTGGCAAGCAAAGTCTATGTGTGATCACTTCTTGGAGATAAAGTCACATATTGACAAGCCGGGAGAGTTGGGTGTCAAAGTCTTAAGAAAGTTGGATGTTCGATCACTTTCTAAGTCACATAGTGAGTTCCTTTGGGACTACTATGAGATAGACTATGACAAGACCCTTAATGATCTTATCTATTTGATAGGTGCTGCTAAATCAGAAATAATTTAAGGACTAGTAAAGCAAATTTGATTAGAATATCAACTTCCCAAACCTTCAATGGACATTGACAATGGTAACATTGGATACCCAGTAAAAGCTTTCTCTTCCCAATGGAAAGGGATCGGCCATAGTCAACTCGGTTGACCAAATGGTAAAGAGAATGGCTAAGTCTGAGAGAGTCCTACCAAAGGGTCCATATGTTTATATTGCCAAAGGAAGGGGAATTGGTTACAAAAACTGC